TTACTTTATCAAGTTCAAGTGACGTGTCCCACAAGCTCAAGACACTTTCTATGCACGTTAAATTTAAGTTAATTATGGTTTCTATGTATTTAATCACAAAATTCTCGACTAATATAAACAGAGCTGGCTTGCTCAAAGTAGACTACAAGTTTGAATTCTTGCTTCATTAATGAATCGTGAATATGTTGACTTATTATTTATAAATTGATCTGGTGACTAAATAATATTGCTAATTAATTTACATATGCTTTCTTCATTAATGAAAATATTTCAACAATCACCACTAGTGTAAGATCAGACGCGATTGCAACAAATTAATTCACACATGCCAAGAGAATATCGACCAACTAATTATACATAATTAATCTAGTCATTGAATAATGTCTGGCTGTAATCCACTAATACTGTGGAGTCCAGGATAAATTAGATAAACACTTGATTTTCCCAGATATATATTTGTCCCTAAAAGACGCTTGTGAGAAACTAACTTTTGGGTTGTGTGCCTCTTGCCAAAAGGAAAAAAGGAAAAATCACAACCAAGAACCCTTGACACTATTAATTACCCTATCAAATAATTCTGATATTACTTTACAAGATCTAAGGACCTAAATATAATTAAAATTTATTTTAAAAAGACAAAACTATTCCTAATATATTTTTGTAGTGAGGGGGAATTGATTATTATTAAAATAGGATTGAGACTTGTTTTTTTTTAATGAAAACCTGTTCATCAAATTATAACAATTCCTCTATACTAAATTAATATTTTGTAATTGTTATGAAGGAATTGATTATTGTTAGAATAAAAATGAGACTTATTTTTTTAAAATAAAGACTTATTAATCAAATCACAATACTTGTTCCTCTCCACTATAAATTAATTTTTTAGAGTTATTAATAAAGGCATTGATTGTTGTTAAAATGTGAATGAAATTTTTTTTTATTGGGGAGTTGTTAAATGAATATATAATTTACACATGAAAGGTCTTTCTGTCTTTTTACAACAAAAGTAAGTATTTTGATCCTATAGAATAATATCAGAATGATTTGATCCTGTAGCATAATTAATCATCTACAAGGGTTCTTGATTGTGATTTTACCAAAGAAAAATGGCCTAATGGGAAACGACAAATGAGTACAAAAGAAACATCGCATCCAGCTTTTTGACGCAGCATCTTTAATTTATTTATTGTGTGTCTAGATGAAATGGTTCTGCAATGGGAATGCATGTAGAGGTAATTAATTTAAAGAATTATCTACATAGTTGACACAATATAATATCAATATAAATAATAACCAATGAAAGAACCTGGGAGGATTACATTGTTTACATATGAATATATGTGTGTGTATATATATATATATATTGGAGAAGCTTGCAGTATGCAGTAGTGAAGGTGTGCTAGCAGAGGAGGCAAAGGGAGCAGAGTAAGTGGTTGAGGTCTCAAGGAGCTCGGGAGGCCTAATTGAGAGACAGTGCGTATCTATGTGTCCAACATACAATCAAACACACACTCAAAAGTTCTAAATTCTCAGTTGCCCAAAGAGTGGTTAACCGAACACTATATTTTTCATGCTGCGAGCATACAAAGGAGGCAGATAAATCAAATGTGAAGGCTGATTATAATTTTATGAATTGTGGATCCAATCCGTATCAAACTAAATCAACATTTATTAATAGGTAAGTGTTGTTGGTTGGTAAATGAAATGTTCGGATAAATGTGAAGTAAAGGAGGAGCAGCGTGTTACGGGAGAAGGGAACGCCGCAATGGGCGGGGCAGTCGGAGGGAGAAATCCGGTGCAGTCTATTTCAGAAAGAAGCTTGACTCACTCCGTCTAACTATTTATTTATTTATTTATTTATTAAAGATAAGTGTACTGTGCTCTTTATGGGGAACCTCCACCGTGTGTGGAATACACGTCTCCTTCATTTTAAAAAGCTGTTGCATACTCCAACAATTCGCTTTTAAAAAATTCAATTAATGACAATTCCTTTTTTTTAATGACTTTTTCTCAAAATAAGTGTACGGTTGTAAAAAAAATTGAAATTATAATCTGACGGTTGCATTAAAATTAAAACATCATATTTCTAATAAAAATTCATGAAATTATAATTATTTAAATTGATATTGATAATTTCTTCATGTTTAATGAGAATGAAATTATCATTTATTTTTTTTTTTTAAAAAAAGCCTAAACGTGGGTTCATGGCGTCCACCTTGTCAATTAGGCGGCCGCTTTCCCACGCTCACGCGGTCACGCAGCTGGCTTCTCACTTTTAAAATCAATCATTCTCCTCTTCATTCTTTTGCCTTCTCCAATATTTCATCTCACCGTTTTTTTAAGCTGCAAGTATTACAAAAATTAATTATTTCATACATCAAGTCACCATTATTCAACTTAAAAAAATACTCATATCATCCAACTAAATTTCATATTATGTTAAAGAACAAATATAATTCGTTTTATATATTCATAGTATTTGTTTTTAATCAAATCACCACATGTCAATTTTTTTATATATTCCTTACGCTATAACAAATTTTCGTTATTCATATTATTAGTGCATTAAATTATATAAAGCATATACAAGTGAGTACTCAGTCTTTTTATTACATTAAGGATTAAATGCCAAATTTGATCTTATACCATAAATTTAAGACCATCTATTATTCTAAACTTGTTTATGATATAATATTGCTATCCAATATTTCAAAACAGCACAATATTTCTATCACCATTAAATAATATTAAATTTGACAGTTGATTGATAAAAAATTATAAAAATTTTTTAAATTTTTTGGATCATTTTTCTGTAATTTTTGAGATCATTTTTTTATAATTTTTTAGTTAATTAATAATCTAATTTAACTTTTGTTAAAGTTAGGGAGACATTAGATTGTTTTCAAAAATTAAAGAGAAATATTATATCAAAAATGAGTTTAAAGTTTTAAATGGTTCTGGACATATAATTTAAGGATAAAATTTTAATTTAACCTTATATTAATCACTTTGATATAAAGTATATAATTTTCATTAATCATTGCACTTTTGATCAAAAGTCCCGCGTTCATTTCGTATATATTCAGCCAAACTTTGACCTAAAATATCGATTCTAAGCCTGCATTTTAATTTAAATGTTCTAAGGTATAAATCTTTTGATAAATTTCCCCCCTTTACAATTTTCTCCTACGGGCTGTTTCTATAAGATCATTCCACACAATTATCTTCATAAATTTTGTCTTTGAGCAATTTAATTTGTCCAGATCCAAACCTTGACTAACTCGTAAAAACCCAGTCTATACGGGACAAGATTTGAACCTTCGTTGAATAGCTGGTCCACAAAAATGGTTGAACAGATTGATTGAATACAGCTAATTTATCGGCCAAACTAAGAAGCCTGATTTTATTTCATTGAATATGAATATATAACATAATACTCTTCCGGCCTTATATATTAATCACCTTTTAAAAATATAATATGATCCATTTTACAAGTGACTAACTGATAAGATTGTTTTGTTTTAAATTAAAATTCTCAAACCACCCCTAAAAAATAAAAAAATAAAGATAAAAAATAATATTATATTATTTATTTATTTTTGCTTGAGAGTTATATTTTAAAATTTTATTTTATTTTTATTCTTTATACTTTTAATGTATTAATATTGATGAGATTAGTAAAAAAATTTATAAATAGGATCAGGGAGTATCAATTAAGTTTCAAATTTATACTCTTGAAGTATGTGGTTCAACACTGACAATGATTTATATATGTATGTGTCTAAAAAATTACCTCCAAAGAATTATAATTGATTAACAAATCACAAGTCATATAGTGTAGTTCGGTATATAACTATACAAGGTTCCATTCAATGAATAAATCCCACCATCCAGTATAAATCCCGAACAGTGCAATAATTATCATTTTCATTACACATAAAAAGACAAAAACAAAATGGGGCCGCAAGGTACACGATTTATAAGTTGCCAATCTTTTACTTACAACCTTGAAATTGTTTTGATGACATATATATACACCACACACGTTCGGAGCGTCGGTGCCACTTGGGGCACACCACACAACTGTCAGTGGACTGGTCCGAATTTGCAAGTGTCTCATTTATCTCTATCCTTTTATAACACCTTTGTTGATATGGATGAATGAAAACCTTAAAAAAAAAAAATAAAGAGAGATTAGGAAAAGAAGCCACCGATGATGAAAAGTTAGCCGTAAAATAAAACAGAAAGGAAGAAGAAATCAGCTGCGTTATAACGAGGAAACGAGGATACTAATTTTTTATGCCGAATTATCGATTTCACACAAAAGATATATCCAAAATGCAAATCCATCGTCTCCTCGAATCTTCTCGATCGAGTCACAGGAAACCATATTTTTATACATAACCCGGCAAGTCAATATATGCATTAATTTTATTTTACTTTTTTATCTTCAGACATGATTAACATAGGATACGATTTACATAAAAAAAAATAGATTATAATAAGAGAAAACTTTTAGCATCTTGGAGTACATAGACGTAAATATGAACAAGTGAGATAATAATATTTTTAACTTGTCGGCAATAATATATTATTAAAATAAAAAATTTACTTTTATCTGGTTACTGTTGAATACAACGGGGAAAAATGGCCAACTGGTGCAGTTGGAATGCAGGAGAGACACGAGAGTGGGTTCCAATGGAACGAATCCACTATTCACACACATTCAAAATCCAACAGAGCCATCACCGGTCCATGTTTGGTGTTTTTGGATAAGCTTCTAGTACGGTTCCATTCCCCCATTATTATTTTAAAATTATTCCTGACATTTTTATGCTCAAAATATAATTAATTAAATACATATTTGCCCACTCCACACCGGCCTCCATATTCAAATCCCTTGGTTCCTCGTTGACCTGCGTATGCCCCCGTCCACACGTCTTTCTTCGTTATTTTCTTCAAAATTACAACAACACCTATCTGCATCTAAACTCCCACTATAAATATCCCTCCTTCTCTTCCCTCCTCTATCCAAATTCAAACATATTCAGCTTACCTTCAAAAAAAAAATGGTCGATTTACACTGGAAATCCAACATCGTCAACTCCGATATGCCCACCAAGCTCTCCCCCACCTCCGATATACCCCGTGTCATGTCGCTTCCACCCTTGACGGCGCCGTTTCACCCGATTGATATCTCTGCTTCTTCTTCCCCGGCTTGCTCTGCTTACGACAACTATCTTCGCCTCCCGCAGCTTAGGAAGCTATGGAGCTCCAACGACTTCCCCGATTGGAAGAGCGAGCCCGTCTTCAAGCCTGCCTTACACGCGCTCGAGATTACGTTTCGCTTACTCTTCACCGTCTTGTTAGACCCCAGACCCTACGCCAACCGCCGCCAATGGCTCCGCCGGATTGAGTCTCTCGCCGTGGCCGAGATCGAGACCATCTCCATCCTCTGCGAGGACGACGAAGAAGATCCCGATACACGTGGCACTGTTCCTACGGCTGACCTCAGCAAGAGCGAGGGCGTGAGTTACAGCGAGGCTAGCTTGCTTCCTCGATTGGCCACATGGTACAAATCCAAGGACGTGGCGCAGAGGATCCTCTACACCGTTGAATCTCAGATGAGGAGGTGCCCTTACACTTTGGGTCTTGGTGAGATGAATATCGCCGGAAAACCAAGCCTCCGGTACGACGCCGTATGCAAGCCGAGCGAGATTCATTCCCTGAACAAGGCGCCGAACGACGATCTCATCGAGAGCTACGAGAACCAGACGGTGTACACTACGCACCAGATCATAGAGTCATGGATCCACGTCACCCGCCAGCTGCTTGGCAGAATCACCGAGAGAATCCGAAGCAAGAGATTTGATAAGGCCGCTGACGATTGCTACATGGTGGAGCGGATCTGGAAGCTTCTCGCCGATATCGAAGAACTCCACCTTCTGATGGACCCCGACGATTTCCTGCGTCTGAAGAGCCAGCTGTCGCTCAGATCGACAGGGGAGACGACTGCGATATGCTTCCGGTCGAAGGAGCTGGTGGAGGTGACGACTCAGTGCAGGGATCTGAAGCACAAAGTGCCGGAGATACTGGAAGTGGAGGCGGACCCGAAGGGAGGGCCGAGGATTCAGGAGGCGGCGATGAAGCTGTACGTGGATAAGAATGAGAAGGGAAGGTTCGAGAAGGTTCAGTTGCTTCAGGCGATGCAGGGGATAGAATCGGCGATGAAGAGGTTCTTCTTCACGTACAAGCAGGTGCTGGTGGTGGTGATGGGGAGCTCGGAGGCCAGTTGTAACCGGGTCGGTGTGAGGTCGGACTCGGGCGACTCGCTGAGTCAGATATATCTGGAACCTACCTATTTTCCCAGTTTGGATGCTGCCAAGACATTCCTGGGGTACTTTTGGGATAACGAACACCGATGTTAATTCTAGTGCTGGTGTTGTTGGGATAATTTAGTAATTTAACATATTGAGACACGCGTGAAGAAAATTAGGCATATTAAAAAACGAATTCTTTTCTATAATATGGATTAAATTATTCTTGTAAGAGCTTGTATCATTATCCGTTTTTGTTTATAAGATATTCAATACGATTTTTTCTCCATTGCTCTCGTTTTGGATTCGGACTTAGAAGTATATTCTGTGATAGAAACTATAGATGAAAAATAAATTAACTAAATCCTTAAAAGTATTTTTGTTTAGAATTTTCTTTGAAAATTAAACATAAAACAGAGCTTTCTCCGTCCATAGTGAGGAAAAAAAAGTATTGCTTTTTAATAAAAATATTTCTGAATTCGTCCCATGAATGAACCTCAAGTGCATTCATTTTTAATCTTATCTGTTATATTTGTGCGTAGCAACATTATTTTGTTGAGAAATTTAAACTTCAAATTATAAGAATTTCAAATATATAAGTTTAACAAACTCATAAATTTCTAATTTTTTTCAATGTAATTTTTTAGATTTAGATTTGATAAAAATTAGTATCATGTCACGTGAAATATATATTGAATGCATGGATTTGTATTTCTCATTGGACTCAAATTCATAAGTTTTAACACAAGAGCCTCTGACATCAAGAAAAAGTGATGAAGAACTCAATTTTATGAATATTGAGCTGACCATAAACATTGTATAGCAAGAGATTCAAATAATTTAAGAAAGAAAAATTCCTAATCTTGTAATTTCACTTAAAAAGCATGCTCATGTTGAGCTAGCTAATTAGCTTAGGCATGAGCTTAACCAAAAACATGTTGATAGTCAATACTTCCCTTGTCCCATTAAAGATATAAATCAAAGGATGGTTTCCCTAGTATTGAGCCCTAAGAAAGTTGGACTTGATTTGAATGAGATGGAAAGTGGAAGAAAAATAGGAATGAAATGTATTATTTTTGAAGCTTTTCTCTCCTAACATTCCTTTTTCCTAAATTTTCTTTTCATCCAAATCAAGGTTAGAGCTTTTACCAAGTTGTTGTACATACTAATCTTCTTATATCCTTGATGTCAATAAAACTCAAGACCCTCTAGAATTTCAATCAATTCAATCAAATTAAAGTTGACAGGCAGGTATCCAAATGACCAAACGGAGGCCTAGTATGGTTTTGGCACCATTTTCAAATAAAGTGGTTAGAATGAAAACATGGGAGAGTTGCAAGAAATGAGCAGCTTGTGGTGTTTAAATAGAATCGGGTCAAAGTAAGTGATAAAATTGGCAAGTGAGGATGAGGCCTAACAAGTGATGTGACGCAACAAAAACCATAAAACATGAATTAAAAACAAGAAACCAAGCAGGAAGGAAGGAAGGAGGCAGGAAATTAAGGAAACATGCAACGGTGCAGTCAATTTTGGTGGCACCACAATATGTGTCTCTCGCCCTCTTGATTTTTCTACGTTTACTCCCTCAGCAAACAATACATCAATTCCTTTTTATCATTATTATATATTATTTCCTCTTCAAAACCAATGGAAGTTCAGTTGATGTCGTCAACAATTTATTTTTAAATTCTGAGAAGTTGCTTTTCTTTTTGTAGACATTCAAAGAAACAGTTTTGTTTACAATAATCAAAGCTCGCTTTTAATTTATTAAGGTAGTTTTAATTGAATTAGGATCAAGCTATCATTCATAAAAACAAGTTAATTTATAATATTTGAAAATTAAAGTAATATACAGTAGGATGAAATTCAAAAATACAAAAAAATTCGTAATAATTTAATATATTTCGACATATAATATATAAAATACATTGAAAAGTCTAATATAGGTTAAGAATCTTCATCACAAAGAAAGTCAAAGTTAACAGTTAATCATGGACTATTTGAGAGCGTTTCTAGATAAGTTTTACACTGAGTCCATTTTCAACATCCGCTCGACCAGCTTTAAAAGTTCCGTCGACTTTATACAATTTCTATTAATTATATTAATAATAACGCACTCCATAGAAAGGGCCTTTTTATGTAATGGGCCCATTAGTCTTAAGCCGAAGGATGTAACAAATCATTGGGCTTAGAATGATTCTTCTATTCCATTGCAACCACGAACTCAATACTAATGAGAATTGAGATTAATGAAAGTGATTAATTTCTTATAACATAATAAATTAATATTTAAATTCTTATTAAGACAGTATCCATTACTTTTGAACATAATTTCATCCAATGAGAGGATACACGTGGGAAACAAAAAAAAAATCATCAAATTTAAAAAAATATATATAAGGAAAAAAAAATACATTGACCATTCCTGTATTTCTTCTTAATTACAGTCACCACCCTTGTATTTTAAAAACCCATTTAAACCTCTCATAGAATCAATAATCACAAAACACAAACCTCTTCTTTACTTTAAACATTTCATTCCTATCCATACAACCGTTGATTAACTATTATGTCACATTTGTTAAATCAAAATACTCCTCTTTAAACATAAATGTTATCTAAAAAGTATTAAAATGCCAAAAAAAAATTAATGTACTCCCTTCATTTAAAAAATATAAAGTATTTAAACCCACAATAAACTAGTTACTTGTCTTTAATCTAATAATATTTTTTTATGTTTTAAAAAAAGTTAATGATTATACTTTGAAAGACTCTAAATACCTTATATTTTTTAACATCCAACTCATCAAAAAATGCCTTACATTTTTGAATGACGGAGTATATTTTTTTACTTTTTTATTCATATTTTATTATCAATTATGCAAAATTATTTATTTAAAATTTTTAAAAATAAAAACACATTTTGAGTAAAATAATATTTCAAACACAAATATAAACAAACTTAATGAAACAAGTATTTAATATAATAAGAGATAAATTAGTTATTATAATTTAGGTTTATATTTATTTAAATTTTATTACTTTCACACAATATTTTTAAATTATTTATCTAAATTTTATCATAATTATTTATTTATAGTTCATTAAATTTGTTGAGAGTCTATACAATTCTAAGGGTAAATTAGTAATTGTAAAATTTTCAACATAATTAAAAGTGAAAAGTAAATATTTTAGAGCCCTTAATAGAATATTCCTAATGGTATTAAAAATCAAATTAAAGTGTATGTTTTGAAAAAAAGAAGGTGTAATGCCCTGCATGGTAGAATGAACTAAAGACAATTATCAAAATCCCATTGTTTCCGGCGTTTTTTGTATGGGCATGCTAAAGGAGCATATCCTCAAAATGTACAATGTTTTTTACTTTTAGAATCGAACGGTAAGTTTTCAAAGTCCTTTATCACAATTTTTCTAAATACATGCTTAATAATAAAGAGAGTGGAGCAATAAAGATGGAGAAACATGTAAAACATACATAGTGAGAGCAAACATGATTGTGATGATGAAAAAAAGAAAGAAAATTACAGCAAATATAAGATGAAAAAAACTAAGAAAAGAGTTGGCATGCTATTAATATTGTTCTGCTAAAAACTAACACTCTAGTGGTTTTGGAGGACTCACTTTTCTCTATTGAATGGGTGGTGTAGTAAGAGTGCTGTGTCAAATTTGTTTAAAGATATAAGGAGTCATACTAGACGAAGTAAGGAATGACATAAGATTAAGACTTTTGTACTGAGCAAGTAAATTGAGTTGTCAAAGTGTTTGTAGTTGTTGACAACATATGTGTGTGTGTGAACCATATGTGTGTGGTGGCTAGTCCTTTTACTGGTATGAAGAGTCAATTTTCTCATGGCTTTATACTTTTCTAGGGCTACTGGGTGCAGTTGTCTCCAAAACTTCCTTCACTTTCATTTTTCTCGTGACTAACTTTTTCTATAACTTCCTTTCTTTTAGAAGACTTTAACGGACTTAGGCTAAATTTAATATTTTTAATCCAAATAATTGGACTTAGGATAAAATCACGACCTTGGCCAAATGCCTACCGTGGTAGTAAATGGTATACCATGATAAAAAAAAAGTTAATATTTTAAAATCTTATCATGGTAGGAAAGAGTATGCCATGATAATTATGAGTCAAAATAGTTTTATAAGGGTTTACTATGATAGAAAAAGATTTTCTATAAATATAAATATATTTGTTTAAAGTCAACAACCATTTTAGAAAAAGAGATACCATAGTAAAAAAAAAATCAATGTGTTATAATGTAAACTTGCCAGCTAGACACTAGAATCTTAATAAAACAATTGAGGCTTTTAAGCCTATCCATAAATTTAAAAAAAACACAAAAAGAGACTTCAGTTAAGACAAAAAAAGGATAGGCCTCAGCTCAAAGTCAAATAAAATAACTCTTTAAAATAATTACGTGAGACCTAAAATACCACAATTAATGAAATGTTTCAAAACTGATAAAATAATAGCTTAAATACACTCTCTTAGGTTATGGAAATGAGCAAAGTGTAAACTAAGCATATGTGACAGCTATAGAACAACTGAGTTATCGCTTAATTCTCTAACCCCTTCTCTTATGACCTATCGAAGGCCTTACATGAAAGTTAGTAAGAAGTAATAAATGAGATTTAATGTCTCAATAACAAATAAGAATTCTAAATATACTAACAAACCAATTTAAAATTTCATTTTGCAAAATATATTTACATAAATAATACCTTTCTCAAAGCTAGTTCACAAATGAGTTTACAGAAAGAATATTATTTTTACAAGTCAAAAGTATGTCAAAAATAATTATACAATAGATGACACCATTCCTGATCCTCCCTTATACCTTCCATTCACCTTATTCATTAGCAAAAGTCTAGCTTGAGGATATACTTGATCAACAATGAATTGGCTACAAAACTAAACCTCCTCCTTAAAAAAAAGGTGCCCAATGTTCCATAGTCCTAAATTAAGGAAAATGGGTCCTAATAAGAAATGTCAACTAGGAGGTCGTTGGTGGTGACTTACTAATATCTCCGACACATCTAATATGAACATATCCTCTCTTATACACTATACAAATGCATCACATCAAAAAAATAATTTCAAATGTGCAAGCATACTTGAAAAATTTAAATCATATTATTTTTAATTTCTAAAGCAAACAAGCATCCTGACAGAATTAAACCTTTATAAAAAATTATTTCCACAATCTTGTCATCAAATAACAAAAACTGGCATGTTTGAAAGGAATAAAGTAGTTCTATAATTTCATATATCATGCAAACATGCTAGATAGTTCAAAACATAAATTTCTAATACATAATCAATCTAACAAGCCCTCAGTTGGTACAAAATTACCAAAACAATTTACAAATATAATAATATAAAATAATATTTTTACAATATACAAAGAATAACCATTGTTATCTCTTTTTTAAAGTAAAACTATATGTGCCAAAATGTTCTTAAACACTACCAACTCAAATACTGCTTTGCAAAAATTAGTAATATTAAATATATCATTTAATAAGTCTAAATAATTTATTTAATCCAAAAATTAAATTTAATAGTTTCCAATGTTCCCCATTTAACCTCCAAACTATTTTTTCCTTTAACTTAAATCATTTTCTACAATTTTTTTCCATTTTCCATCTCAATAAAATTAATAAAAATTTCTTATATTTAAATTTCCCCCATAAGATTCAAATTCTGTCTCTAGAGTTTATCCTCCAATTTTTAAATTTCATATATTCAACTCTAATCTTTATATTCAACTTATCTATAAATAGTAACTTTTGGAGAAATTTTCTAGCCCATTAGTTCATAAATAAATCATTATTGGTTTATCACGAGTTTCTCATAATATTAAAAACTATTCTATAGTTCTCAAAATCAATGATTTGGACAAAACATGTGCATATAGACCCTAAATATAATTTTTTTTAGCTTTTTGAATAGCTCAATAATCAGTTGCAATCACCTAACAAATTTAAAATTTTTCTAGTTTTAAATTTCTCTATCTTATTAGATTCCAAAAATATCAAAAGGAAAAATAAGAAGGGCGGCTAGATTGCTTATCTAATTTTTAGAGATCTGAAAATAGATGATAGCCATCGAAGGATCTTGTGGTGCATGTTTTCCTGCTTCCTGCCTACAAAAGCATCCAATTGGATCAGGTTTAGTCTCATTTCGTGTCACTCAGATCTGGGTTGGACTTGATTTTTTTAATATTGAACATATTAGTTTTAATAATTGCTACAATCATTCTTTTGGGTCTGAATTGGAACTCAAGCTTGGGTTTAAAATACTTTGTTTTTAGATCCTCGGACATTGCAGGATGAAAAGTGAATGAACTTTCCCAGCAACGAAACACTATAATTAGTAAAATTTCCCACAGATCTTGCCTTGTAAACTTGTTCGATCCGACCCCACCTAGCTTGTGAAGAGCAAGGGCAGGTGGTGTCAACGACAGCGAAGATCTGATAAAGTGCTCTGGAAAGTATTGCCGGTCATGCACCAACGGGATGATAGCCGCCTACGTGGCCCTTTGTTGTTACCCCTGCACAATGCTCCACCTCTTCGCTCTGGCCTTTGTCAAAGCTCTGTGGATGGCGAGGAGGAGATGTCTAGGTCTTAAGAAGAAGACTGAGAGAGAGAGAGAAGAGGACCTGCTCTTGTGATTTGGATGAGGACTAAATGGAGAAGGCTTAATGGACCTCCACGTCGCTGTCCTTTTGCTCAAATTAACGGGCGTTAGATTAAATTTAACGGTGGACGAAATTGTTTCATATTTAATTATTTAAAGTTTAATATTTGTTATTTATAAGTATAAGATTTAAATCACTCGAATTTATAATTTAATATTCAAATTGTATATTGATCTTAAATTTTATCTCTCTCTCTCAAATTATATTTTTAATTCTGTCTTTTTCTATAATTTATCTTTTCTCAAGTGATTATATGGTGAGTTTTAATTACCATGAAATCATAACTCAATATGACTAAAATCCCAAAAATAAAAATTTGAACGTTACAATACATGTCATGTGATGCGGTATATAACACAATGAAATAAAATCTCACTTAAACCTAATAATTTGTATCCAATCCGGTCTAATCCTTATTTTGGATTCAAATCAACTTTAATATATGATCTTAGGCCCAACTTAAATCATAATTAAGTGCCTAAATATTTGATTAACTTCAAATAATCTCAATTATAAATTAATTCCTAAATTAAACCTCAAAATAACAATAATGCTACTTTAAATCCTCAATTTTCACAATTAAATCTTTAAATAAAAATTAGGATGTTACAGAAAAAATATCTCTATAATTTTAGTAAAGCAAAAGGGAGGTGAGTCACAGTATTTTACTCTAACATAAGCATTTAACTTTTAATTTTGAAATAAATGCCTTTTAAACTTTAAAATCAAAAGAAGCCAAATTCTCTTACAGAAGCTAAGGTGTTTACGTCCTTTTGAATGTAAGGTGGTGTGTGACAGGGTGAATGTTACTAGGTTCAGAATATGTAATTGCTTAATATCAGAAGCCTTTTTTTTATTCTTACCATAAGGGGGAGAAAAAGATTTTGATTCTGAATTTGAATCTCAATCGCGGCCATTCAATGATTATAGCTCCTCACATGCATATATCAGATGAGTTCTTCATATTTGATTATTAATAACGTAGGTTCTTTTTGCGATATATTAGGTTTGGGATCTGTTTAGTTTTTTTTTTTTTTTACCTTTTTGGCAAGAGAATCATACCGTTAAGGGGTCTGTTTAGTTAGATTGCAAGTGTGTGTGTGTGACTCTTTTAAATACACAAGGACTACTCATCTATTGAATATGAGCTTCTTCTGAATCTGCTTTTACAACATGCTATGAATAAAATAAATCATATAAAAGGTGATAATAATAAAATACTTACATTTAGTGCCTATTTAATGAAAAGACACCTGTTAGTTTGTATAAAGAAGAAACACTTGTTAGTAATAAAAAAATTATTTATCCAAATTCACTAATATCTCATAATCTAAGGGACAATGAAATACAAAATATTAAGGTCAAACTGGACATAGTTAGCTAGCTTGAGCTACCCAACATATTAGAGCTTGTTTGGTTTATGTTCTCATTTTTTATTTTTAAAAATTATTTTGTAATGCAGTTTTTAAAATTGTTTTAAAAAAATAAAATGAAAATTCGTTATGTCAATTAAAAAGTAGTTTTAGAATTGAAAAATGGATTGATATTGATAGCTATAGATAGTTAATGATGGTAATTAATAATAAAAATTGATCAAGGTAATTATAATTTTTAATAATCAAATATAGTATATTTTACAAATAAAACAAAAATAATTTAAAGTTGTTTCTATTTTTTTATTTTAAAAAAAAATAAAAATAATTTTGGAAACAATTAAATGGAAAACACTTATCGAAACAAATTTTTTAATTTTTTTGTTTTTAAAAATAAAAAATAGCTTTCAAAACAAAAAAACAAACAAGCTCCATGTTTATCTTTCAACGGCTACACAACTGGCTGACCTTTTTGTTTGTTTACTTTTTCGGTTCAATATACTTCAACGACTTCTTGTCCATGCTTTTTCTATCCTAAATGCACAATCTTAACTATAATTTTATCATGTTGTTTTTCAGAAAAAGAAATTGTTAACCTCACCATTATTTCCTCCTCCTCCTCACACACGCAAGCTCATTTCCTTCTTGCCTCCAGGTATGTTGGGCTTGGGGAATATCTTAAAAAAAAAAAATATAGCTAGGTTATCCAATCACTTCAAGAGAACACATATAAATGATTATGATGCTGCATTTTAATTCAAAATTTAAAAGCATTGAGTTTATTAATCTTTTTCACTTTTATATCTTTTATCTAGCCCACTTTTTTTCCACATCAAGTAGAGTTCACTCACACTTGCTAACCTAACAGTCTTTTCTTGAAGTGTGAGTCTATCATTGACCACACAACCATGCTTCCCATATTCATCCACAATTTAAAGACGTCAAACTGCTACCAATATAAGCTTCAAAGGCCTTTTTCACTGTTTTTACATCGAGTCTCCTTTTAGAATTTGACTTTGATACCACTTGTTAGATCCAAAGAACATATCGAAAGAGGAGAAAATATAGCTGGGTTACCTAATAATTTCAAAAGAGCGCATATAAATGAATATGACATAATATCTTAACCCAAAATTTTAAGATATTGAGTTTATGGGACATTTTTACTTATATATTTCTTATTTAACCCAACTCTATTTATGTAAGAATTTCTCTTCACACCAAATGAGGACCACTCATACTTGACAATCCAACAAAGTGTACTTGCCAACCATATTGTTGTATTTCCAAAACTCACTTATGGTATATGGATATAATATACTTCCTCCATCCTTATATATAAAAAATTTTTTAAAATCTTTTCTGTCCCTAACTATAAAGGGTTGTTAGCATGATTGTAATGAATGAATCATTATACTCTTATTAAATTGAAAAGAAAAAAAGATAAATATTTTTATTAATTTACTTTAAAAAAAGAGATTTATTTTTCATTTATAATAATTAAGAAAAAAATTAAAATATTATTGTGTTTTTAATTAGGTAACAAATTTTTATTGATTCGTATAATTTAATTAAAAATATTTTATATATAAAAACAGAGGTAGTAACGTACATAAACATAAAAGTCATAGCAAGCTTTATTGGATTCCATACACCACATGCAAGCCACATTTGGCGATATGTAATAATTTCTCAAGAAATAGGAGAGACAGGTTCCGGGATGAAAGAGGAATTGGCCATGATCTCCCGTGAATATGACTTCCTCTTCCTCTTCCTCTTCCTCTTCTTCTTCTTATTATTATTATTATAGCCAACCAGTGAATATGACTCGGATCACGTAATAAAGTGAATCAGTGAAGTGAATGTCAAACTCTGGCCAAAAAAAAAAAAACAAGAGTGAATGTCAAACAAGGTCTCACTTCTTTTTATTCATTTTATATTTGTATTTATCTGTTAAATTATTAAATCCATTTTTTCAATAAACATTTATTAATGAAATCGAATATATGTTGTCAAACTCTGTCTCCCTCCCTCACCGCCACGTTAATCTCCATCACCTCTAACCTGGCCCCACGTGTCATCCACTCAAACAGTTGCTCAGCTAAACCAATGTCCTGCCCCGAAATTGTCATCCTTTTTTTTCTGCTTTTCTTGAAACACTCTTGAATTCTCACGATCCAACAGGCAAAAGCTATCCACTTCTCTGTTTTATTATAACCTTCTCCATGGAGTTTCTTTGCTGTTTCAGTCTCCGGACAATTTAACACAAATCACAATCCACAGTTACGCCTTGCATGTACATACCTTCAATTAACGCCCCGTTCGATATCCCAGAGGCTATAGCTATCTATTTTTTATTTGTTCACGTTTTGATTGCTTCTCCATTTCTGGGTACATTAAATTCGCCGAAGGTTCTATTCCTTGTTCCTTTCTTTGGTTCCCCTTGAAATCTGATTCGAGTCTGCACATGAGAAGAGAACTTTTTATGACACCCTCTAAGATCGGCTTCTCGGGTTTGTAACTATATTCCACGGCGTGCTTTTCCTCTTTATTTAATTTTTTACGGTGAATCATAGCTTCTGGGATATGGGTTTGAGAGTGTATCAGAGTCCCAAGCGTATGCAAAGTTCCTTTTTCGGAGCCCCTCGTTCTGTGTGTCGTCCATCTAAGCTACCTTCTGTGTTTCCTTCTTGGTCACCGAGACATTTCAGTGATAGTAACGTTGCTCTGTCTTTGCGCTTGGTTCATCGATTACCTTTTTGTGGCTCACAGGTTTTGAGACATGAAAGAGTAAAACGAACTTGCACTGCCCATTCTGGGGAATGTTTCGATGAGATGAATCTGGTTGAGCAAGTTGCGAAGGAATTGGATATCCCATTCGAAGCAGATGAAAATGACGAGAGAGTCATGGAAATGGTTCAGACAGTCTGTGAGGAAACCCAAAACATACAGCGGCTAAATAGCTCGGGAAAGATTTCCAAGGAGCAATTTTGGACAGTGAAGCTTGATGTTATGGAGCCTTCTGTGTTCGGCATTGAGCCAGAGCCACCACGCAGGCTAGAAAGAGAGAAAATGCTAAGCGCGGACTTTGAAAGGAGAGCGAACTATTTGGGAATTCCTTTCTCGATTCGGATGATTCAGAAGAAGCTGCAGTGGCAAAAGAATCTGAAAGAAGCGAGTAAATGTACTCCCTGTTCTGTGAAGAAGACCTTCTCGTCCTTGGTCTTCATCCTCCACGAGCTTCAAAATTACGCCCTGCAAATAAGAGAAAGCATGTACAGCGAGGATTTGCAGGGGATGGTGGGAAAATTCCAAAGTGATATTGATGATTCCTTCGTATGCCTCTTCCAGAAGATTCTGTGCAAGACACCAAGTCTTATGGTCTATACCATGGTCCTCCTAGCGAACTTCTCTATGTTCTCGATGAATAAAAACAATGCCCTTGCAGCCACTCCTTTGATTACAGAGGTACAGACGTTGACCGACAACAAGAGTGAAGAAGGTTCAGAAATTTATGTCGACGCTGTTTCTGAGGAGATTTTATGGAATTCGATGCTGGAGGAAGCTCATAAATTGCAAGAAGAAATAAGGAATGAGGCTTTGGACAGCGAGAAAATGAAAATGTTGGTAGCTCCTGTGTCTGTGGAGCTTGAAGGAGATGCATACGAGGAATATAAAAGAACAGAGCTCTACTACAAAGAGCACATAAGTTGGGCACCTCATAGCTCTCTTCTGCTTTCTAACTATGCACAGTTCCTCTACCTTGTTTATCATGACGTTGACAAGTGAGTATTTCAGAACCCTTCCTCTACCTTGTTTATCATGACGTTGACAAGTGAGTATTTCAGAACCCTTCTGCTATATTCTATCTAGCTCTCTTCCATCTTAAGAGGACAACAGCTCTGCTGGTCATTGCCTATTAGAAATGGAGGAAGTGGCATCTTGCAGTAGTTCTGTAAATTGAATTTACTTTACTCCACGACCACGAGTTTCTTCATCCATTTGATTCTAGGAGGTACATTGCTGGTTACTGATTATCTGTCTTCCTACTTGCCCTGGAAAAAAAAAAATTGAATATGAAATCGCAGGGCAGAAGAGTACTTCAGGCGTGCAGTGATGGTGAAGCCACAAGATGCAGAGGCATTGAGTAGATATGCCGACTTCTTGTGTCTGGTAAGAAAGGATCTAAAAGAAGCAGAAGTGAGATACCTAGAAGCAATGGAGGTTGATCCTGAAAGCGCTCATTACAAGTCCAAGTATGCTAGTTTTATTTGGAGCACCAGCGAACAAGGAACTTGTTCTCCTTCCTCGGAAAACTCCAACGGCTTCGACCCAGTCCTATGATCCGCATCCCGGATGCGAGATGTTATGTTGAGTTTTGACTTTGATATGACATTATCCAACGTTTCACCAACACGCCTCATCGCTTTCATTGATGTCAGTGAAATGTCTGTATACATGGCATTACTTACATATACTAAATTACTTTAACCAGTTTTCCACCTCTGTCCCTAGAACAAAAATCACACGCGCAATAATTTTTTTCAAGTCTTTTTGTTAAATAAGTTTAGATGCTAATAAACGGAGCATGTCAAAACAATGGTAAGTGAACCACCCCTCCCTACAGAAACTAAAGCCATCGAACCTTTTTCTCACAAAAAAAAGGGGTAAATACATGAGAAGGAAGATCAGAGTGCAAGAGTTCATGAACAAGTTACTTCACTAAAGGATATAATAGCCCGTAATTCTACAATCACCTTTTAACATATGGAGACAAAAAGCACCCCAGGATGGCAGCAGCAGCAGCAGGGCCCTAGTATTAGGTGTCAATTATATAATGAATCAATCAAAGGAATTTGACATACTAGCTTTCCCCACAGAAATTCGTGAGTTGCGTATGGGATTTCATATCATAAAACTACAGAACTAAAAATAAGAAACAGATAGCTAGCTAACTCAGGATCGTGGAATTTTTTTAAAGCTACCAAGAAAAAACCTAAATAGGCATCACCAAAACCAGACGTTGCGGCTATCAACAGCCTTCACTGAAGTATACACCAAGGGCATCTTTCCATACTCAGCAGCAAATCTGTTCACGCATTCTGTTCTTCTTTCACTGTGACCACCCAGGCTGCTGATTCCAGTTGATCCTATCTCAAATATTCTACCTGGAAGATTGTAAAAAAGGTTTCGTTCAGTAAATATGATATGTTCATGCATCTATGCACAGACGGGTATATCAGCACTCTGAATAACATAGCAGTATGGATGGACAATCTAAAATCAACCACTGACTTGTTTAGTCTATAAGCTTCAGTTGGTAATAACGGGATGACTGACTACATACTTTGATGAACTGCGTCACTAGGTAGCCAAAAGAGGGGCATGGAAAAATGTGAAAATCCCACCCAAGATTTAGATTCAGCAAGAGGCAGTTTAAATCCATCCCTACCGTTCATTCACAACTCACAAAAATAAATGAAATGATTTTTTTTTTTTGAGCAATTTGCAGCATTTGATTGCCAATGAATCAAAAACTGGTTTTTAATCATGAGAGACTTCAGATTGACATGCGTGGAACAACTATGATGATAGAGGAGAAGTGAGCAGCAGAAATGCCTTCTTTAACTTCTCCATTTGTGAGACGTAAGATACGTTCTAACAATTTAGAAATAGTTTCTCCCTATACTTAAGCTAGAACATTTGGTAGTTCATCAGAATTTGGCATTTCCATTTTCTTGCCTCTGTAAAAAAGGGTATAATTATGCCTTTGTACCCAAAAAACAGCAAACGAGGCTATCATCCTTAAAATATGTATGAGGAGAACATGGTGCCAAATCTTCACAATATCTCTTGGACAAGTAGATTATCTGTTTCGGAGATAGCAATTACCTTTCACCCATATTGGTGGTGCCCCAGTTGCATTTGCAACAAGGAAAGACATTGCAATATCTTCACAATTCCTGGTAAAATCATTTAAGAACAACACGGATAATATAGATAAATATTCAAGTCTTTTTAAATCAAGAAGGCAGCAATTAATTTGTTAAGAGAAACAACCTTTTCTTGGTCACATATTCTCTAATTGAGGCTGGCATCTCATTCGTGTAGAGACTAAAATACTTTTTGTGGAAGAACGCTGCCTTGGATAGCACCATGCTGTACGTACCAGTCCACCACACGGACCACCACCCACCATATTGAAATTTATCACCATCACCTACCTGCAAGCAAGTTGAATAACTTGAAAGGTCAACATAAGAATTCTAAATGGGCCCCATCCCCAGAACGAATCTCACCAAAACCAATAAGAGAAAAACAGGCATGAAGACAGACAAACTTCTAATGGTTGAAGGATTAAATAAATTGAAACGACAGTTCACATCAAGAAAGTACAGATGAAAGGCACAAAACTACAGCTTCTTGTAGTTTTTCTTTCCATTTAAAATCCAATCCTCACTAACAATGAATTAACAGCTCCCCTGTTTATGATGGCGATCTATATTCTATGTGAGAATCAACTACTTATCTTGATATAGCCCAAGTAAGTTACATTCAATATTGGTTTTACTTTTTCTTTAAATTAGACGTCCAGATAAGGCGTAGTTTTGAAATGGAACTCCAACCTATTTGTCCTACAAAAACTAATTTGCTTTCTTTCTTTCTTTTTTCTTTTCTTTTTTTTTTGTTGAAACAGAATGTTGAAAGGCAACACCATCAAATATGATGCTTGTTGGAGATCCTAACTTCAAAACTAAACCAACATTGTTCTGTACAAAGCATAACCACAAAGGAAATATCATGTGACCTAGATCATAAGGGATGACAGATAGCACAGTAGACAGGCTAAAACATAAACATAATCATACCGATGAATGTTCCCAATGGGCACGGGGAACAAATCCCACCATTGTATCTGGTGCACTCTGCCAAACATCAAATGCAAATTCCACAGAAGGGCAAGGGAATATGACATCGTCATCAATGGAAAAGACTGCATCGGTCTCTAAATCTTTGATTTCCTTAAACCTATTGTTTAAACTGTCTTCTTTGTTGACATCAAACTTCAATTTGACGTGTCGCCCATCTTTAGAGTTGGACTGAACTACATGGTGTAAAAACTTTAAAAGAAAATCTGAAGGAGGATTGGGTTCACTCCACACAATATGTATTGATTCTAGCCGAGGACATGATGCATAGTGCTTGACGGATTGCTTTAGGAGATCATATCTCTTCCATGTGTTCATTACAATAGAATATCCTTTCCTGTGAAGAAATATAGAAAAAAAGTAAGTTCCCTACTATTGCAAGCTATATAAGCTCAACACCTCGTCCCTTTGGGGACATCCGATTATAATAAGCTCAGCACCTGAAGGAAAATGAAAATTAAGAGAAGCCTATATTTATTTATCTCACTGTACTCTTCAAAAGGCATGAAAACGGTACGGAGCGTGTCATCCAGACTCCATAATAACAAAATGGATAGTCATTCACGATAAAATTTAAGAGCAAGAGCAAGAGCAAGTTCAAAAGCAATTATACCGTAGAGCAACCAAAGAGCATGGTGATTTGAAAAGAATCTATAATTCAGGCAGGAAAAAAAAAATGAATCTATAAGAGCTAGAAGTTGTAATTTAAACTCTAGACCCTGAAGGTCATGAACTCGTTTTAAGGTCCGGCCTCCAGCACCCCATGTCATGAATTACTAGTTTGGTAACATAAAATCAACTAAACGGCTGTATCCCCAAGCGATGATTTTAAAACTCAGATGGCTTGTGACTTGAAAAGCCAACCTTTGTCGGAGAGAGGACATAGATATTACCTAAGCAGACAATCACCGTGCCACAATAGCACTAAAAAGAAACAGCCTTATCGGATTATATATGCCCGCTCTAGAACCTTTATACATCCAGGGTAAGCACGCCAATATCCACTTCATAGTATGAATTTACAACTCCAACCTTCTTTCTTTCTTTATTTTTCATTTTTTTATTGAAAAGGGCAACTTCCGTTTACCTTTCTCAATTCATTGTCCTCCTTTTTTTTTCTCGAGTCTATAGACATGAAAAGGTTTTTTTTTTAAAAAAAAAACATTTATAGAAGCCGCTATAAACAAACTACTAACTGCTGGAGATCCGTTTCATGGTATTATCGGCAATATTTCAACCTAAAACTGCACTGATCTAAGTAATTTAAGAGATGCTCTTGTAGCTGGAGTGAAGGCAATCTTTTTTTTTTTTTTGGGTTCGTTTCATACGCTTGCCCCAAATAGAAACTACAAGAACTTGCAAGTGGAAAATAACATATACAAAGCAATAACCGATTGATCCAAAAACTGAAGTCCGTCAGTATCAAAATCCACGAACCTTGAAGGAGAGTAGGGAGTGAAAACAGGATTCTGATTGGACCACACCACGAAGGCGGACGCCTTGCCGGTGAGAACGAACAGCGTGAACGCAATGCAACAACAGAGCAAAAGCTTGATCTTCACCGATTTAACTGAGGAAATCAGGAGTTGCCGGAATTTATGCTCTGCCCGGCGATTCAACTTCAACCACCAGCAGCTCCCTCTCATCACCGCCAACTTCCTGTGTATGAAAAAATGTATAAATCCTCGCAAGGGACGCGCCGGAGCAACCGTATGCCTCCGAGACCAATCCTAAAGTTTCAGCAACGAGTCGGATCTCCTTCCATCCCAGCTTCTTCGCAGCCGGTGAGATAAGGCAGAAGAGCTAGAGATCCGGTGAGGCGATGGTCTCCACGGAATTGGAGAGTTGGGAAGATGAAAATGAAGTAGTTTCCCAGTATTTAGGCTCCCGTCTGAATGCTATGTCCTATGCTCACTGCTCAAACTATTCATCTCAGATCAGAGAGGAAGCAAAATGGTCCTTGGCGCTCCTCAAAGACCGTTTCTTCTCATCACAGGAGCAAAATTTGACCGTTCGATGCTGCGTCCTGTGAGGAAATTAGATCAGACCCAAGTTTACATCACGCGTCGTAAACTAAATTATGTGGGAAGTTAATTAATTCATTATTAGTATTAGTAATAGTAATTTATTCATGTGTTGACTAATCCCTTTCATTTTTTTCCCCCATTTAGCTAATCATCCATATATCTATCTACCACGGTCAAAAAAATATATCAATATACTATAAAACATAAATTTCATATAGCCCAGAACAAATCCTAGCGTGGATTTCATTTGTGGGGAGGGTTGATCGATTGAAAGTAGATTTACATTACATTTGAAGAAAATACTGTAACAGTTTGGTTCCGCAACGGTGCAACCTGCCCTAGACGGAACACTGGCGGGCGGCAAGTTGCACTATACTGTGGGGAGTATCTGATTCGTTACATACACATGAAATTGGTAATTACGAACTTACAATCCATCCAGGGATTGAGTATTGATTCTTTATTATTTGTTTTTCTCTCTCATTCATGAATCCAGTTAATTCAAGTCATCCAAGGCAAGATATTTCTTCTGCATGATTTCCAAAAATATTATAAGATCCATTAATATTGGATACTTTACGTTATAATATTTAAATATTTGGTGATGTTTAGGTAGATTTCATTTAATGACTTTTAGTTTTAAATATGGATCATGTCCCCTTACATTAGTGGCAAAGCCACGATACTAGATAAGGAGGAATAAATTAACTTTAAGTATTAAAAATGAGAGAATAATTTGATAATTAAAAATTTATAAATAATTATATACTTAGTAATTTTTTTAAAGATATTTTTTATGTTTTAGATTAATCATTGAACAATTAACTTATTGTATTTTAAGACTTGAATATTGGCCAAAACAAGACTTAAATGAGTTTGAAGTTTAAAATATCAAAATGAAGGGTGTCAAATGCAATTGCTTGTACCCTTGGCATGTAATTTTCTCTAAGTGAGCTTATTTACATGTGGCTCCAGCACTGCCTTACATGTTCATAAAAATTACATTAATATTATTTTTTAAATTTTAATACATACTGCGCCTTCATGTGGCAATCCAACATAAACAACTAATGAAGAAGGGGGATTAGATATAAGTTAGAAATCAATATCTGAATGCATCTAGAGGGCTCGTACAAGTTCGTGTTATTTGGAAAAAATATAATTTTTCTTTTAGTTATCAACTCAATTCATGAATTTTAATACATTACAACTTAGTCTAATTTATTACAATAAAAATTTAAAAAAATTGAATTGTTTCAGGTTTAAAAACTATGAAATGAGTTGTTTCACATTAAGTAGTACTTATTAATGTACAATCTAGTAACTATTGATCTTCTAATGTTTAATTAATGCTAACCATCAGTATTAATATATTTATAAATGTTATGAATTTAATTTTCATATACTGTTGATAATATGAATATGATGGAGCTTATTTTCAAACTCCATGTGAATGTACCAGCTTAATTACTCTAGTTTCCAATAGACAGTTAAATCAATTGATGGCTTGCTTTACTATCAAGTAGTTGTGAGAGAAAAACGGATAAGGTGCCATAACTTCTTGTGCATTTTGAAGTGTCTTAATTATGGTATTAAAAATTGAACCAAACTAATGATCTAAATTGTTGAATGAGTCTTTGTCCAAGATCAAAGTTGGTAGACTACCCCATTTCACTTTTTCAAAAATTTATTGCATGTATTAGACGAGCTAGTTATGCTAAGAAGTAATGTTAATATAATTTCGACTTCTAAATTGATGAAATCCATTATGAATTTTTTAAAGAGTTTCTTTATCACAATCTCTTTAGATGCATAATACTAATACTATCCACAACCACAAAAATAAAAACTTCTAAGTGAGAGGGAGCAAAATCTTAGAACTCAAAAATCAAGAGGTGCAAAATCTTAACATTTATAAGTAAATAGGTCAAAATTTCAAAAACATGATGCAAAATATTAAAATTCATATATCAAATTTTTAATATTTTCTAAAATAAGGAGGCGCACTTGATCCCCTTACCCCAGTGTGGCTCTGACACTAGTTAGATAGGAAAGTAAAGTATAGAGATAGGAATGAAATGGGAAGGTACAACAAAACATAAGAAATTCTTGCATCTTTATTGGTATAGATTAATGTATTTATATCCATGGTCATTATAGAGTACATGAAATCATCCAGATGACATCGAACTTGATTAAGCCCATCCACATAGGTTGATCCAGTTTGTACAATTTTGGCACATAATCTTCAAGGTCCTAAGTTTAAATCCCATTTTCAATGTAAAAATTTTATTGTTAGATCATGTATGAGTATTCCTGTAAGTGTTTCATGAGTTTTTAAGGATATTTTAATAAGCTCTCACAATTCATCTCACCCAAGCCTTTTTAATTAACCAAAACCAATATACGAAATCAATCACGAACGAGTATTTTGATTGGGTCAACAATTAATTTTTAATATAGTATTTTTATACACGCATGATGTGCCAAAAAATAAACATATATAAATGCTTGGGTCCGGATCCATGAATCCAAGCCCAGTATTTAGGGCCTCCAAGGTCCATTAGAGTCGAAGAGCCCATGCTTGAATAGGTGTCGCGCACAGGAGTTTGAAGTCTTTCTTGATGCCTTAGCGCAAAAAATTAGACTTGTAGAAAATAAATAAAGAATCACCAAAAAGGTCAGGGAACAAAGTAAAATGCAGTGCGTGAGCAGCAAGTCTCATTGAATGTTAACTTATCAAAATTTTTCATTATTAGACAAAATGATTTTTTAAACACCTTTTGTTAATGTTGCACCACAGTCCACCTAGAGATTAGGTTACCTTTGCGTCCATCTGAAGGTTTGCTAACTAAAAAGGATTTTCTGAAATGAAGCTAATCCTTATGCCTCTATAGAAAGGTTGCGCAAAAGCGCATAGTACTGCGTCATGTGGGGTTTCGAGAATAAGAATACAAATTAAAACCCAGAGTATATAATACTTGTTAGTGTAATTTAAATTGTTCTAATTAATTCATTTTCAAGGGACGCGTGTTGGAGTCATAGTCGTCCACAAAAACTTATGGCTCCAATTTCTCTGACGGTCCCTGCTGAATTATTACTAAATAGTTTAACTTATTGTCTTCGGTCACGAGTTGATCACTTTGTAAATAAGTGTATATATATATATATATATATATTTTATATATAACAGTTTTATTATCCACGCATTTATTTAAACTTAAAAGCTTGATCCACTCTAAGCTGAAGGCGACATATGGCCGACGGCCATGGAAATTCTTTATGTTACAAAACAAGAAACGCAACGAGAATAAGAGAAAAATCTATGCCATAAAATCATTTGCACGAAAGTCTCACAGTCACACCGCCTAGCAGGTTAAAATCAACCTTCAAAATTAATCATCGTTCATCTTTTAACGATACAAGCACCCATGATTACCGAATATATAGTTAAAAGATCCCTCTAGGATTTTCGCATCCTCTTCTGAAAAATAGAACGAATTTAATTTGATATCGGTGATAAAGACTCTCACCAGCGACTACTAGAGGTTGAATCTCAACCTATATATATATATATATATATATGTATCTAATATTTGATTGGGAAGAGACTGTCTTTTATGCTATTAGCATTTAGCAAAGTTTATGTTTTGTTGAAAAAGAAAAAATAAATGGCAAACTAGCTAGTAAATCATTCATACTTTTTTAAAGTGTGTTGATTTAATTATTTCTTGTATGCCTGGTATTTTGGATCTATCTCGCGCCGAGCTAAAAAGATTTAACAAGGGTTAAACCAATCTGAATGGACCCTTTCAGATGGCGGGATTCACTACAAAATTTGAATGGGACTATATTTTTATAGCTCAAATTCAAAATAGATAATCAAGTTAGAACAACTCATTACCAGTGGATCATGGCTCAGTGGCTTAACTATGATTTGCTTGATGCTGTAATGAAGGTATAATTAAGCAAAATTGAAAAGTGGGAAGGAAAAAGGAGGGGGGGGGGTGGGGTGTGTCTGTAAACTGCCTTTTGTGATTAATTTGGATATAAAAGGTGAGTGGGTAAGTCAGGAGTCCCATCTGGAAAAGAAAGAAAAGAAAACAGTACCATTTGACATGCTTATGGGTTTTTCCCTTCTTGCCCGGCAGTCCCTAGGAGATTGATTATCACAATCTTCTTCGTTTCTTCATTCAGGCCCCCGAATACGTCTAAGAGGAGGAACGTGGAGGGCCATGCCACCTCCCACAGACAATCGTTTTCTTCTTCTCTTTCATGTTTTTGCCACAACACAACACATCAGCCACCAAAAATATTATCAAAGATTCCCACCCCCTTCCTTTAATTTTTTGTTCCCATTTTCAATTTGCTTTATTTATATATTGATATAGTATTTTATACTGTCGAGCCGTTGAGGCCCCTTTTTGGCTTGTTTTTTATGTTATCCGGACAAGTCATTCCTGCTAATTTAACGACTAAACTAATTAAGGTTAGGTATCATCATCTCTATAATCATTTCCCAACCCCATTTTTTAAACCCCCCTTCTCTCTCGCTTTTGGCCTCCTGTTTTGTTCCTATCTTAAATATGTATCTCTTGAGATTATATTGAGAATCCAATTGCCAGAATGCACTTTTCCATTAACACTCTGTAACCTCAATCATCAATGGTCTCATCCACGCAAAGGAACACTCTGTATGCAAAAGCCGTTGCCTCAATTTATCTGTCATGAGATTATTTTTTTAAATGTATTATTAGTGCAAAATAATTTGATTAACAAATTAATTCGATTAAAAAACAGGAGTTTATGGTATGTGATGGGCATGTATAAGATAAAGATGACGCTGGAATGAAGATGACATCATGTTTTTGGTTCTGGAGCCTTCTTCCCCAAATCATGGTCCTCCTCATAACAACAGAGACAACAGCAATATTTAACGGTCAGTTTTGAACAATGAATGGGTCGATGATTTGGAATTTCAGCTAAAATTCTGATATATTTCCGGATATTAATAACTTAGATTGACCAAATTGCAAGGGTAACCACTATTAAGCCAGCTCAATATCAGCATATTACACGAACATTCCATTTATCAATTATTGCATTTATATTTATCTGCACGCACGCATTTATCCTCCAATCATATTACGTGTTCCGTGGAATTCATAACTGATCTGCAGCAAGCCAACTTCGTAGAACTTTATGCTCACGGTATATTAATATTTTTTAAATTAAAATGCAAATAATCAAATTTTGTATCTGGTGGACACCGGTAATCAGCAGTGGGTAGAGAGGAGCAATTGCTGCTTACGTGTTGAATCAAGAAGATACGGATCGGAGACACGTGTCGTGGTCAGAGGCTCGAGTTCAACGTGATGTTTTAGTGGAGTGAAGTTCAGGAAAAGAACGGCTGACCCGAGCACTGACAGTAGAATCCAGGCCCTCCGTTGGAGGCGAAATCGAAACCATCCTCTGTTCCTCTGGGGCGCAGAACATGGTCGGTCTCGTGCGAGTGGCTAGCATCCTGCCAGCTGGCAGCGTACCTGTCATGGCCAGGACTAATCCGCCAGCCAGGTCACTGTTCAGTGAAATAGTGAATATACAAAATAAAAAAAACGAGAGAAAATGAAAGGTCGGCCAAAGGATAAGAAATTAAGTTCAATATATTACGCCAAATGGACCCCACCACTTCTCGTCTTCATTTTTCTCAACTAAACTCGATTCCACTTATAAATCCGCAATAAGTGAACCCTTCATCCCACTCATCACTAACTCTCATCATCGCTCTCTCTGTGTGTCTGTCACACCACCACCAGGATCTTCGAGAAGCAGGGGAAAAATGGAGGGGAAGGAGCAGGACGTTTCGTTGGGAGCGAACAAGTTCCCGGAGAGACAGCCCATCGGGACGGCGGCACAGAGCCAGGACGATGGGAAGGACTACCAGGAGCCACCGCCGGCGCCTCTGTTCGAGCCATCCGAGCTCACGTCGTGGTCCTTCTACAGAGCCGGGATCGCCGAGTTCGTCGCTACTTTCCTCTTCCTCTACATCACCATCTTGACTGTTATGGGCGTCAGTCGTGCTGATGCCAACTCCAAGTGCAAAACCGTGGGAATTCAAGGAATCGCCTGGGCTTTCGGTGGCATGATCTTCGCACTCGTGTACTGCACAGCAGGAATTTCAGGTTCGATGTCTTCTCTTCTGCTTAAAACTCGAATAAGAATGATCTTCAAAATCAAGAAACTCAGTTTGTTGTGTGTGATTGTGTGGCAGGTGGTCACATAAACCCAGCCGTGACGTTCGGGTTGTTCTTGGCAAGGAAGTTATCGTTGACAAGGGCACTGTTCTACATGGTGATGCAGTGCCTTGGTGCGATTTGCGGTGCGGGTGTGGTGAAGGGTTTTGAGGGAAAGAAACTATACGGGACCTTAGGGGGCGGTGTCAACTTTGTGCACGACGGTTATACCAAAGGAGATGGCCTCGGTGCTGAGATTGTTGGCACCTTCATTCTGGTCTACACCGTCTTCTCAGCTACTGATGCCAAGCGTAGCGCTCGAGACTCTCACGTCCCCGTAAGTACACATCCAGTTTCAAGCTCTTTTAGATCATTATGTATGTGTGGTGTATTAGGTTTGGTTTTTTGTGACGTTTAATTGAATGAATTAAATTGGATCAGATTTTGGCACCGTTGCCAATTGGGTTCGCTGTGTTTTTGGTTCACTTGGCCACCATCCCCATCACCGGTACCGGTATCAACCCGGCTCGAAGTCTCGGAGCCGCCATCATCTTCAACAAACACGAAGGCTGGCATGAACACGTAAGTTTCTCCGATCTGATATTCTTATTAGTTTCCGGGGCTGGTTAAGTCAAAGAGAGTCTTAATTAATTATGACGGATGTGGTTGCGTTGCAGTGGATCTTCTGGGTGGGACCATTCATCGGAGCAGCGCTGGCAGCTCTGTACCACGTCGTGGTGATCAGAGCAATTCCATTCAAGTCCAAGTGAGGGATGGGATTGAATTAAATTAAATGGAGCCGAGTTTGTGGGTTGTGGTGGATGTTTTTATGAGCGAAATTTCAGTGTCCCCTTCTTATCTTATTTGCTGAAATATGTAAAGAATGTATTTAATGTTTTATTGCTGCTACTAGTAGGGACTGCATGTTCCGTGAAGGGCCAGTTTTCCTCTGCTTTTAGAAGTTGGAAGAGGGCTCAACCCCCTGCGTGTGGGCCTCTGTGTATCGCTGTGATTGTGTATCTGTCAAATTATCAAATAAAAAAAAAGAAAAAGAAAAAATATGTTGTCTTCTTCATCATCGAGATCACGATCGTGTAATGGCATTGACGAACGGATTAGGTTCTACGCTACGAGGGGGTGGGGGAGGCTGATGGTGCGGTCGCCACCTAACGCTGGCCCACACCTTTTTCTTAATTTGTGTCATCAATAATTCACTTCGAAGTTAGGACTCAGAAGACTACGTTCTGTAGCGGTGTAGCCCACGGCATGGGCAAGTGGAGGGTGATAATAAGGATGTGCATCGCGCAAAATTTATCTCTCTGCGAAAGAATATATAAATAAATAGATTAAATAAAATACTATAATTTCTGTGTACTGAACCTTTAATTTTTCTTTTGTGTAAAATAGTAAACTACGCACAAGTGTCAAATTAGCAGTGGTTTGAGAAATTAGGACGATGATCTTGGCTCGGCAAGTTGCATTATCTTTTTTAAAATTTTGTCGTGACAAACCCGCGCAACAATTAATTAAAATGGGCACTACTATAGTCTGTGTTATCGCAAGCGTTATGATGTTTGTTTAGTACGCAGGTTTCTCAACATATATATATATATATATATAAAACATTCAGATACCAATAATTAATAAATATGTGTAAAATGAAATAATTTTTTTTAACAATATGTTAAGAATGAAAATGTTATTTTAGTTGCATGTCCAGCTGGATGCAATTTGTGATGATGCTTAATTAAAAAAAAACAGCGATAAATAGTTTTAAATAACAAGTTGACATAAACAATCAATACATGACACCATCAATATTAATGTTAATAAATATAAAAATAAAAATTTATGGGTGATAAATAATATGATTTATTTTTTTATAAAAGATTGCGGGTTCGGTTTTTTAAGGGTGTGGTGGGTGTATAAGTTGCTTCTAATGATCATTGATGAAAAAACAATTATCAGCTTCATTTTTTTTTCTCGGTGCGGGAATTGATATATTTTTTTATAAGAGCCGGAATTAATTCTACTCAGACATCGTATGCATCATTTTTATATCGAGTGGTTAAAAATAGCTTATTCACGCATCGATTTTTTTTTTGGCAAAAAGTCAATTTTATTAATTAAAAAACAATTACAATCACTGTATTAGGTTGTTGATTTTTTTGGCCAAGGGCATTAGGGTGTTGATTGATTCTACGTGATATGGATGAAAGAACATTGTTTAAGATTTTTTTCGTTCTATGAAGCAAGGCATAAAGAATGAAAAATGGCTCGTTATAAAAAAATAGAATTAAAAATGGTTAGAAGTAAAGAGGGAAAGTGACCTTGAAAAATCACAATACATACACTTAATACTAGTATTTGTCATTGGGGAAGAAGTCGTCCCCATTAATAAATTAAAAAATTAATTGAGCGCTTGAGTTAATTGATTAAGAATTGGTTCAATTTAATTAGAATTCTCGAGTCTGAATCCTATTTGAGTAACAGTAATAAAATTCTTTTTGAGAAGTATGCTTCTAAAAAATGCTTACAAGGTAATTAGTTTAAATATAAAAAATCTAGTATAATGGAACAAAAGAAAAAAAAAATAAAAAGTTAATATAATTTTGCTGATGTAGCCCTCCACTGATATGGATCACCTCTCGAAAGCGATCTCGGCATCCCTCAGCGGAAGAAATTCTGACCATTTAATCTATATCTAATGTTCCATATCTTGCCTCTTCATCTCATGATAAAATAATTTAATTTTAAAAATAATTCTTTTACAATTTATTTCATCACTTTAGATATATTTTTTATACTAATGATTTAAAATGATTTTTTTGCTCTTGAAACTTATTCTAAAAAATTACTCTTCAAATTTTTTTTATATATTTTTATCAAATAAGTCGGACCAAATTTTGAATAAATTGAATGGTAAGTCCCTGCAAATGATCTGAATAATCTTAAAAACTTGTGAACTTGCAGTCTGACTCATTTAAACTTTAGATTGACCTATTTAAAAAAAATGTTTACAAAAAAATTGTAGAGTAATTTTTCAGAATATGTTTTGAAATTAAAAAAAAATCGTTTAAGATCATTAATATAAAAAGTATTTTGAAAGTGGTAAGATAAATTGTGAAAGAATTGTTTCTTTAAATTAAATTATTTTAACACGAGATCACGTGATAACATATGAGACATTAGACTTTGATTTGAAAGGTCAGGATTTTCTGTCGTTGAGGTATGCTGAGAGGATCGCTTCACAGAGGGTCCGGATCCAGCTCTCTACTTCTCTGGAGTATGATATCCAAGCCAGCCAACAAGTTCCACCCCACTACATTCCCAAATACCAATCTCTACCTAATCACGCCAACCTCAGAACCTTCTCGCAGAATCTCAGAAAGGACGCACCGATGACGACAAAGCTCACAAAAACTCGCCAAGGGGAGAGGCGTCTTCTCATAATTATCACTCGAGAGATCATCCATTCGGAGAGAATTGAGAACCAAAACGGAGAGAAAAGGATCAATGTTTGCTATTAAAGTCTGAAAAAATGTTTTCGATAGACTTTCCTAAAATTTTATTGGCGAAACTGAGTATCATCATCACCTCATCGGCATTAATAATGACCCATTCACGAGGATCATCATGACGACCCTCGCCACTTCTCACAGCATTAGCTAAGATATTTTAATTTGCATTCATCAGTCGAGTCGTTGAAGGAATGGAATCCCATTATAACTCTAGAACTAATGGGCCTCCTAATTCTCATCTTGTGTCTTTTTTTTGGTTTGGCCAGTGACATGATACTATGTGCATAAATGTCTCCCAAGCAACCTAGGATTGTACGATGATATGCTTAACTGCTGATTTCTACATAGCATTTGGTCAAAAAGTTAACTTCTAAATCAAAACCATTTTGCTCTGAAAATATCAATATCAATAGAGCTCTGTTAGGACTGTGCCCTTATCAATATTAACACTGGCTTAATTTTGCTGTACTTGCACGGTCAGGACCGTTGCTTTGAATTTTTTTTTTGAAAGGGAGAGACGTCTTCTGATATCCCTTTTTTTTAACCCAATTTTTACACTAAAGGGAACATTTTAAAAGAAAATATCAAAGTTCATCCCCCCTATAATAAAGTTAAAAGTCATCATACTTTAAAATGTAATTTTTTTGCTTCGATTTGTAATACATTTTAGGCCCCACCCATTCTCATTCCAATTCTTGCCCCGTGATTTCATACAATGATTCATCCATGTGTTTGACCATTGTGAATACTAATTAGTTAATCACCGTGCACGGGATGCTATTTTTGCAAATTCTTTCAAGTGTTAGATAGTAATAATTAGTACATATTAAGCATTACTTTCATGTGTTTGACTATTGTCAATACTAAGAATTGATAGTTCTTCATTTTTTTAATAAAGCTTGAACTCTCAATTTTATCCGAGCTAAATTACATTGTTTTAACCTCACCTAATCACTATTATTAGTTATACTAAATGTTTTTATTAGGGTTAAAGTGTATTTTACCTCTGAAGTATTTTTCGAGGAGTACCCAGTATTCTAGTGTTTTTGTTGGAGTAATTTTGCCTTTAAAATTATTAAAACAAAGTATTTTTGTTCTTCCCGTCAATTTTTCTAACGGTCAACATTTAAAGTTACTAAAACAGAATAATTTTACTCTTTTCATCAAATTTTTAATATTGATCTTGAATGTTGACCATTAAAAAAATTGACAAGAAGGGCAAAAATATTCCATTTTAATAACTTTAAAGGTAAAATTATTCCAATAAAAATGTTAAAGTGCTGGATGTTTCTCAAAAATAATTCAAAAATAAAAATGCATCTTTTATTCTTTTTTGTTATGAGAAAACTTATTGCTGTTAAGAAAAGCATAAAAGAAAAACCTATCAATCTCAATTATCAAGAGTTATATAATGCCGGGGACACATTGCAAAGAACCTGTAATGAAAATCCGAAATACAAGATGTTGGATAGCATCAAGATGACCTTATACAATTTAAAAGGTGCATTTTTGTTTGGGAGAATGTCGACAGAGCTATAAAATGATTCAATATGTAACAAAAATTCCTACCAAGTAAATATTAATAATTAACAAGTAAAGTTTAAGTTTTAATAACCATACAATACATCTAAGCCCTTACCAAATATTGAATCATTCCAAAGATTTTATTAATGCTTTCTCTCTTTTTTATTGGTAAAAAAAAAATTTGGGTGAATCGGATTTAGAAACTCATTAATTATTTTCTCTGTCTCTCTTTGGTGGGTAAAATTTTTTTTAGATGAATTGAGTATTGGGGCTCATTAGGGATTAGGCGAGATTTCAACTTATAATCATATGAATTATGTCTCAAATTTTTATTAAGCAGACCAATATTTGTTGGTTGATATTTCCCTTTTTATTTTACCAGCAAGACACAACTTTCAGAAAAAAACCAAAACATTAGTTTAACGAAACAAATTTTTTTCTGGGCTAATCTGCTTTTTTGGGATAAAACGAGTCAATCAGGAAGCCCATAAAGCCCATATGTAAAACCCTAGCGTTTTGCCGTTTCACTCTGCTGGCCCCTTGCATTTGCGCTCTCTTCCTCGCACGCCTTGTTTGGTGAATAGAACCCGCAGAATCAAAGCTCCAAGCATGGCGGCGAGCGAGCGCACCGTGTTGCAGTTCTCTTCCTCTTCGCAGAGTTTGTCTGCGAAGGTTCACCCTCTGGTCATCTTCAACATCTGCGACTGCTATGTCCGACGTCCGGACCAAGCGGAGCGCGTCATCGGAACTCTCCTGGGCTCTGTTTTGCCCGATGGAACCGTTGATATCCGTAATTCTTATGCTGTTCCCCACAATGAGTCACTGGGACAGGTATGCGCGATTCTTCTTCTACATTAAGATTTTGTACTAGTTAGTGGGCAATTTTTTTGTTTTGGTGATCTCATAATCTAAGGCCCTGGATTTAATTATTTATTTTTTCAGTTTATCGTTGGGTGAAATCTAGGGGTATAAATTATTAACGGCGGTTGTTTCGGGGTCTTTTGCACATTAATTGTTGATTCTAGTTCCATACTTAGATCCGAGACAATGCACATGTTGGCCATTTTATGTTTTCTGTTGTATTCTTTGCAAAACGTGTAGCTCTAATCACCCCTTGTTTGATTTTCGTCCGTTGAAAGGTAATCATAGTACGTTTTATTCTTAATTTTGTTTCCCTGGTCTCAGCTATATCCCGTTGGTCCCTGTAATCTTTCCTTGTATTAATTTAGGTGCCTGGGAATGAAGTCTGGCACATTGCTTAAATTTCATGCCAATAGGGCATCTTTAAAATAGAACTCCAGATATTATAACGGGTTAGAAAGGATTGGTATTTACTGGCAGCTTGTTCTCCAGTTGTTCTCAAAACTGATAAGCTCTATTCATTTGCAAAAGATGAGGAATCTACAAGGGGTGATAAATTTAATTCTGGTTAAAATATTGCTACTAGTGAAGTATCTGTTACCTGTTCACATGGATAATGAGGGTATTGATTACTTTTTCCTCCAGAGGTGGTTTGTTTTTCCCTGCGCTGGTGTGGGGTAAATAATTTCATATTTAAGGAACTAGAATGGACAAACTTGATGTATTTTTGAGTGGAAGTGATGAAAGATAGGCTTCTTATGATTGAAAACGTGGATGGAATGGAACAGGATAATAGTTGGGTTGGGTGCCTGTTTGGTTGACTCTATCAGTTACCTCTCAAAATCTCTTCCTTTCATTGTTGACCTTTATAAATGAAATATCTTTCCTTACTAATCTTTATTTTATTGTTACAGGTTGCTTTGGATATTGAGTACCACCACAATATGTTGATATCCCACCAAAAAGTCAATCCAAAGGAAGTCATAGTTGGGTGGTAAGTCCAATGTTTATAAATTTTGTCCTTTTTTGCTTGAGAATCAAGTGCTAGTAACGGTGTTCTCCTTCAAGAGTTTCAAAGCATTACTACATGACTAGGCAACTTATTAGGTTTTACGAGTTTGTGTCAAGAAATCTTTCAGCGGTCTTTGGTTTAAAGTGATGACTTGGTTTGTGGTAGCAAACCTCCTTCACTGGAAAGTGATGCACTTATAAGGACTGGAGTGCAAGAACTTCCATATAGAGTTGTTTATGTCATCCACAACTTTTATCAGTGTTAATTTCTTGGCATGCTTGCATCTATGACTGTTTTGTGAAGGGATTCATGAACTTTTTAGCTTGTTTATCTTTCAGGTTTCTTATTTCTTTTGGTCTGGGGAAAACTAATTATGCTAACTTTGGTATTTATGCAGGTACTCAACTGGTCTTGGAGTGAATGGGGGTAGTGCATTAATCCATGAATTTTATTCTAGAGAAGTGCCCAATCCTATTCATTTGACAGTTGATACGGGATTCACAAATGGAGAGGGAACCATAAAAGCATATGTATCGCACAATTTATCTCTTGGAGATTGGCAAATTGCTGCTCAGTTTCAAGAAATTCCTCTGGATCTTCGCATGGTTGAAGCTGAGCGAATTGGATGTATGTTTTTATTGAATTTCAGCCTTAGAGCTATCCTTTTGTTTTCCTTATAGAGCTTGCGTTTTCTCTCATCAAAGTGCACGTGCTTTCTTTCATTGATTCATGGACGCAACTGCAGGGAGATGTCCTTCAATTTAGGAATATCATCTTTTACTTAATTAATGGCTGACAAAATTATTCTATTGCATACATTTATGCAAACCTTAACTGATGTTAACTATTTTGATGTTATAGGTGGCTGACAAGCTATTTTATGTTTTCATTTTCACTGTTTTAATGAACTTGCTAATCTGAGGAATTATTGTTGATAATAATTTGAGTAGTCTTCGTTTGCTTCTTTCTTGTTTCTGGTAATGGCAGTTGATACTTTGAAGGCAACTACTGTTGACAAAATCCCAAACGATTTGGAAGGGATGGAAACATCAATGGAACGTCTGCTAGCCTTGATTGATGACATCTACAAATATGTCGATGATGTTGTGGTATGCTGATATTATCTTCTGAATATTCATGCCATGTATTGTACGGGTTCTTTCTTTTGTAAGATCAAAACTGTATTCTTTCCCCCTTGAAATCAGGAAGGGCGTGTTGTGCCAGACAACAATGTCGGGAGGTTTATATCTAATGCTGTAGGTTCCCTTCTCAAATTGCCTCCTTCAGCTTTTGACAAGCTTGTGAACGATAGTTTGCAGGTAAGATTTTGTTTTAATGGGTTACTAGAACGACAAGGAGATGGTTGAATGTATATTTTTGGTTATAATCTTGGTTTTATGGGCACATCCTTGATTCGCCGGTTGTAGTTCTGTTTGATTGAGTGTTTATTTTCCTTTCAGGATCATTTGCTTTTGCTCTATTTATCAAGTATCACAAGGACACAACTGAGCTTGGCCGAGAAATTGAACACAGCTGCTCAGATTCTGTGATTCCTTTGTCAATCGTCGTGCCAAGGCAATTTTGCCCGTGGAAGTGCCTTTTGTCTTATTTACTGAAACACGTCAAATCTGTTTTTTTCCTCTTTAATTTTGTAGTTTTTTTTTTGCTTTTGTATTTTTTTTTTTGCAGTTGAGATTCATAGGTTCTTAATTATATCCAAATTACAGTTTAGCGATTCACCCGTATTGTAATCTGTCGTCTGCTAAAGAAATCTAGCCAGATCTTTTCAACACTACCTGGCACCATTATTTTCCCCTCGAGTAATGGCAGTGTTTATTTACCTGGTCACTGCGTCAGTCGTTTATTGGGATGGAGTTTCGTGGAAAGGAAATAAAATTAAAAGTGATTTTGCTAAAAAAAAAAAAAATTCTTTTCAGCTGGCTTAAAAAAGAGAAAGTTTGAGTATCTTTTTCATCTGGTCACACTATTCGGCTGATGTCTGCCTATGGCTTTTTCGGTAGGCCTCGTGTCAATTTAAAAAAAAAAAATTGAGACGCTGATTTTCGACCGTCTAAGAAGCGTGGGATTCGAATTTGAAGACATTTTTTTGTTTATTTTTCTCTTTGATTTTTACCCCGGGCTGACGAGTCACAACAATATGATGCAGCGAAATAAAATGAAACCAGAATCATTTCAAACGATCACGTCTCCATGTGAATTGCAGAATAAACGTATGAACTTTTTTATTGCTGGATAGAGGTTCCTTGTAAACTCATAGGGCTAGGTAGGTAAAGAGACCCAACCTACAGTTACAGAGCTACATATCCTCAAAACTCTCATATTTGTCCCCAGCTATAGAGGCATGTGAGACTATTCCGGCTGATTTTTATGCATGCCTTTTCATTGTTATCAAATTACTAACCCGTTTGTTCTTAATCACATAAGTCGTCTTCCCGTCCAGTCAGTGATCATCTTATTAGGCCGCATACACATCATAAACAATTTAGGCGATAACTAGCTTAGTTAGATGAATAAAATGCCAGCTCAATTAATCTAATATAGGAAGCATTTAATTCAATGTTTTTTTATTCGAATTTTTATTATTTTTATTTTGATTTTAAAATTTTATATTACTTGTACTATTTTTATTTTATATATATACCCCCCTCTGTTAAAAAATATAAGGCATTTTTTGAGAAGTTGGATGTTAAAAAATGTAAAGCATTTTTAGTTTTTCAAGGTGTAATTATTGTTTTTTTTAAAGTGCCCTTATTAATAATAATTTTATATTTATTGTAGAGTGTTCCATAGGGATAAATATAAAAAGATAAGATTAGTTAAAAAGTAGATAACTGCTTTATTGAATAGTGAGATTTGATTAAAAATGCCTTACATTTTTAAATGGAGGAAGTATATTATTCAACATATAAATTTTTTTATTATTTATGCATTATTTTATTATATAAATTATTTAACATATCAACTTTTTATGTTATCCTAAAATATTTCTAACAAAAATTATAAATCCTCATAAATTAATATCTTTTTTGGTAATCATGGATTCAAAAACATATTTCACCATTTATAATTCAAACAATTTTTAATCTACCGAAATGACTTTTGAAAAAATATATTCAAGATCAAAGTATAAATTTTATTATAACAATTAATTTTTATTGAATTAATTTTTATTAAATAAATTTTTAACAAATTGAATTTTGGCCGAAGAAAAACAAATACGTACCAAAAAGTCTGTTGCCCTTCAAACAATGCAATATCTCTAAGTATGGAGAACTTGAAAAGCACCCCACTTAATTCTCACACGTTGGTTAAAGTAGAATTAAAAACGTAAGGAGAAACAATGATGTTAACTATTTTGTTTAGAACATTAAGAAGTTTATTAAAATAACCAGAACAAATTCTGAGACTAAATTAAAACGTGATGTCAAGAAAATGCTCCATTATGTCATGTATTAGCGGCTGAAATAGAGGAAGTGATCGATGCGTGGGGCCCAACTTGTTCAAGGCTTATTGCTGGAGGGAGTATCAGTCATTATCTGTATTAAGAACAAACAGTGGCAGTGTATTTTAATAGCAGAAAGGTAATACACAAATGCTTTTTGTCGCGCATGGTGATAATGGTGGTGGCGGATTACTATTCCCAGAAAAAGAGAAGCAACAGATTGATGTTATGGAGACAAGAAAGTAAACAAGACACGGATCTTACGGAGCACACTAACCCTTCTGTATTTCTATTTCACGCCTTCCCCTATTCCCCTTTCTTTTCTAACCCCTTCACACACCAAAAGCCATCAAGCTCCTTTCTAGGATTTTGGCCCTGAAAGATTTGACACCCAGTTTTACGTTTGCTGTCAAGGATTTAAGTACAACCTTCTTCTTTTATCGGGTTTGGAATTGGCTTCAGACAAATGGAATTTGATCCTAACAAGTAGATCTAAACTATACCCACTTTTTTTTTTCTTTTTCTTTTTATAATAGAAGGATACTGGGAAACATGCATAGGATAGTGGCAAGTTAAGTCATGTTATAATATTAAAGGTTTTTGCACCCAAGTGGTGGAGCATAAAAAAATCTTAACATTTAAGTTGGCGTTGGAAGTTCGGTACACCAGCCAATTAACATTATTATTGACTTCTCTATTTACGTGGTCTAAACTAATGGTCCAATCTTTAATAATGAGTTTTTTGATTTTATTTAAGATTTGGGCAAGTGAGTGATTATTAAAAAATTTGTGCCAAATGAGTGTGAGGACTGCTAGGGGGATATCATTTCAACGGGAGAAAACACAAATCCAAGTTACGCGCGTATAGAGGATACTGTTGATTTCCAATTTCAGCCTGATCAACAACCAACGATCACCAATCATCTCGAAAAGCCGATATTCTGGAGATAGGTGCCGTCTTGGTGTAAATGCTTATATTGCCTAGCATTTGTCTGAAACATGTGCATATTCATTCATTCCATGTACAATTTCCAAAACCTAATGTCCTTCAAGCAAATTTCACAACCTCAATATTATATCTTTTGTACAAGCCTAAAGAATAAACTTGAATTCAAAGCATTACACACATATCTGTGACCAAGAATTTCTGTGTTCCAAGACTGAGCTGCTCGATAAGGCATAATATATATACGAAGCAGCTAGCCGCCTAACCTATACGGTTGGGTTAACAGCTTCAGTCCAAAACCCCTTGAAGTTAGAGAAGTCATCCTATTTGTGCCAAATATGAACAGACGGAATGAAACTACGCTCTTGGGAATTGCAGAAAGTCGCCTCTGTCGACTCTAGCAAACAATATTAGAATTCATGTATATGAATACAAAAGACAGATACCAAAGACAGGAGCTTGTGACATGAGAAAAACCAAGTGGCTTCCCTTTTTCTCTTGTTGGTCATGAGTTGTCCGTCTCTCCAAGTCCTGTCACCTAGTTTATGTTCCCACGTTACCTTAAAAAGAAGATTTTTCATGAACCCTAAGTCAACCTAACTCAGTATCTTTTATGATCACAACCGTTCAACACGCATCTCACAATGGGCAACTTTGACTTTCACTTCCCACTTTGATCATTGGCAGACAGCCACTTCTTTTAAAACACCGAGTTTTGTTTAGTTCGCATGTCTTGTATCTGATTACTATGCCCAAGCCTTAATTTAAAATCCACACCAATACACATAAAGGCCACTACGTATAGGATAATTATAATAAATTATGTGCAATCCATTCAGTTTTAGTGTGACTACGTGAATCCCAACACACTGTGTGTAAGCATATGAACTCGAGGAAACAAAAATATAAATGTAGAATCAGAGTGGCTACTTTTGCGCATGTCTTTATCTTTGTGTTCCCTTTTGCTTGCAAAAAGCAGCCCAACATAGTTCAATCTCGAATTCACCAAATTCAAAGCAGGCAGAAAACTATCAACATATAGAGCTGATCATCTGCGATGCCCGACAAAAGAAGACAAAAAAAGATAAGAGAAGAGACAAAGATTTTTTGTATTAAATTATTCAGTTATGGCATGTTTATATGTGCTCACACGCAGAGTCAGAGAAAGCTCAGAACCTAAAGTTGAGTACTCAGGGGCATTACCTGCAATCTGCAGGAAGTGAGAGATATGGAAGATGGCATGTCAGGGTTTTGTATCAGAGCAGAAAGTTTCCGGAGAGGTGATAGTGATGGGAACAGTGGAAGTAGTGGGACTAAATGTGGGCGTTGGAATCCCACAACAGAACAGGTTAAGCTTCTTACTGATTTGTTCATGTCTGGACTGAGAACTCCAAGCACCGATCAGATTCAGAAGATCTCCACTGAGCTTAGCTATTATGGCAAGATTGAGAGCAAGAACGTGTTCTATTGGTTTCAGAACCACAAAGCCAGGGAAAGACAGAAGCGTCGCAAGGTCTCATTCCACGACAAGGAGCTCAGTAATATTCGTCGTCAAAACTCCCTGTTATCTTCTACGCACAGTGAGTATTACTCTGATTTTCTTTGTTTTTTGACTTCATGTCGTTGTTTGTTAATTTGAGGTTTGAGCTTGCACTTTTCCTAAAAATGGTTCCTTTTGGCAGATTTTGAGGAGGAGAATCAAGTTCGGGAGCCGGAGAGAGTGATAGAGACTCTTCAACTGTTCCCCTTGAATTCACTGGGTGAATCAGAAGCAGAGAAACTGACGGCGCAAGCAAATAAGTATGGAGATGATAGTACGATGTTTCAATCTTCAACGGGGGAACATATAGAAAACCCACCGTTAGATTTGCGCTTAAGCTTTCTGTAAACACAGTGGTGGGAGAGTAGAAGGAGATGTTATTTTAACAATATTCATTACTGTCACTTAGTGATAAACAGGAGTAAAGAAGTTGAAGTTTTAAACTTTTAGAAGTATTATTGTAGCTTCAAATTATGAATGACGTACTGATATGTAGCTTTTTTCTAGATTATTTGAAGTGTCTGGACTTCTCTGCTTGCTTATTCAACAACTTGGTATTATCAGCAGTCCAAGTGTACTTTGCCGGATTATATTTAGATACAATGATTCTTGGAATTCTGATTATTTCTTTTCAAGAATGTTCACCTCGGAATGCCTATAAAGAATAACACAGGAGTCATGCATAGGGCCAGCTTCTATCTTTGAATATCATGAACCATTTTCACACACGAACAATGTTGGATTTGCGCATGGTATCTAAATAAGTTGGGGTGTCATTCTTTCATCTCATCCTCCCAAAAACGAAAAAAAAAGTGGGGAGCTAATTACTGTTTGGTCAGAAAAATATGGACTTGACTTTCTGTTGATTCACTTGTCTCAATTCAGAACCAGGTTTTACAAATATTCGAACAGTACAATTACCAAAAACAACAAGTCTAGTAGTCCTATCCTATTAGGTAGAGTGTGAATAAGTAAACTTACTGACACAAAAAATAAACAATAAAGAGTGTAGAGCTTTTGGTAATTTCAACTGAGCATGGGGTTATGATGACTAGTTCTCGTACGTTCTATATCAGTCCAACGATTTCACGCAGACACAGATTTAAATTGCAGCAAACTGCATCATCAGCATAACTAATTACAATAAACATAGTTGGGCTTCTAATGTTTTCCTTTTCAGGTGGGAGTGTGTGGGTAAGATTATCTAATGTAGCAACATGATTCCCACTCCCAGCATCATCTTAAAAAGCAGTATCCTATGAAGAACAACTCAAATTCTGATGTGTAAATAATGGCTATGGTGTTTGAGATTGAATGAAGTTGTTCTGATTCTAAAGGTGAGCCTCCCCTTAACAGATTGCCAAAACAAATCACATCATGCGTAAGCTAGCTTCAGTTGAATGTAGTGATGATACAATACAACCTTGATACATTTCCTATAAGCAAAATGATGATGATGAAAAATCCAAAACAGCACACAATCAATCCTCTTCACTGCTTAATATCACCGCACAGAACGGATTGTTCAAAACCAAAATCTATGATAACATCTATAGTTTCTGATTGGATCCTGTTCATGACTAGCATTCCATCTATGCCCTTTGCAATGTATAATTGAAACCCAGACGGAGAATGATATAATCGAGGATTGCACGAGTAGATTAACTTTACCCGGTTTTAAGCTGTCATTCACATGTCAGTGTAAATCGCGCTTGAAAGGTTCCTCTAGTTTCTCCAAATTATAAAGGCATGATCTTGAGGTAACATTTCAATGAACTTTTTGAGATTTCAACATTTTGTTTTGCTAATTGCAGGTAACCATCGTAGCTTGAGAATAATAACCATCGTAGTCAAAATGCAGGTAACACGTATCTGCATGCCTACAAGATCAATGGAACGCTTCAAGACCGGCCTCGTACTCATTTTCTTTCATAAACCCAACATCTTGCTAGCCTTAATTATATAGATGCAATTTTCCAATTTGATTTTCAGAACTTAAGAACAAGATATATTAATCTATATTCATGAGAGATTCGATAGACTTTTATGTTGGTTGTATAACTTTCTTCTATAATCTAAGCTTGGGACTGGCTATGAAATATATGCGGAGTTAGATGGACAATAGTGAGGAGAGTTGAATAATTAATAATGTGAAGACATGTAGAGGGTTAAAGGAAGACTAGGAAGAATATATATACTTCAAGAAGTTATCAAATGGCCGGGGACTAGATGAAATCCCAAGAGTACATCGACAGATTAGCAAATGAGTGTGTTGATTGGTTGGCGAAGAAACTCATGACATGAATGACGAGGTGATGATCATTAGAGAGAACCACCATCAATGCACGGACATCATGAGGATCGATATGATTAAAATGTTAGTCCATGTGGGTTAATCTTGCTCCTTTCCCTCTTAAGACTGATCATGACAGCCCTTAGCTCTAGATTATGATGGTTTGCTATCAAATCATCAAAAGGATATATGTAACAGCAAACTTTCTATATCAGAAGCGAATACCACATATTGAGCCAAAGTTCCTAATTGCAAGAGAAACACAGTATTAATTAGCTCTCGCTTTCCATTTCTTGGATATTCAAAGTTCGGTTTTACGCAGCTTCACTTTATATGTGTGTGTGTATAGTGATTTGACTAGATCAAATTTAAACATTGTTGGACTCAATTGAAGATAACTCTTTTAAGAACATTTTTTACATTTATACAGATCCTAACTCAAGACATCATACTTAAACATCAATAACCCTTTCATTAGAACCAATGGTTAAAGAAGTAGATTGAATCGGACGGTTGGACCATCGATTGGTCAGGCTAACGGCTCAATCAAGCCAATACAATCATTTGGAGAACTGAGTCGAGTTGGACCACTTTAGACTAGGGGCCAGATCGAGAACCGATTCGGTTTTCAAAAACCAGACTATTAAAAAAATGCCCTTTTCTTTTCCTTTTAAATTTTTTAAAAATGTCAATTTTTTTAATTATTTGATATTATGTTGTATCATATAACTTGTTAAGTTATGATAAATTAAAATATTTATTTTATTTTTAAGTTAAGTAGTAATTTTATATTTATTTTTCATATTTAAATTATTATATACATATATAATTTTTTAATTTAATTATTATGTTATCAATTTGATCATGTGAACCGTGAAATCGCTAACCTTTTTAGTTCAATATTCGGTCTGATTCTGGAAACATTGATTAGAACCCATGTCCTATTGGTAGATTCATATTAACTATGCGTTTGTTGGCCAAAGTTTCATTTTTTGGTAAAAATTAAAACCACAAATATTTTTATAAAACTAATGGAACAACTTAGAACAAGAAAATTTTAGAGTGGATAAGTTGGAAAAATTCTTCTCATTTATTTTGAATTAGATTTGTGTAGAAAATTTTGAGGCCGCCCTTTACTTTTAAACTTTCAATCATTAAATACTGATTTGTGGATTACATTATTGTGTGTGTGTGTTGTTTTTTTTTTTCCCCCCTGAATCGTTATATAAATGGTTATATTAGCTATGTTGGCATTATTACGATGTATTTTTTCTAAATGAAAGATTAATACTTTTTCTTGATCAACTCAAAGATTAATACTTGATGTTTAGTACATGGGATTATGTGAATGTTCTTGCATTTGGGTTTTTTAGAATTAGATTCATGAATGAGAGGGGAAGATAAGATAAGATTCACTAATCATAATTAGATTCTTTGAACCTTTACAGGAAATTAACATTAAAAAATAGCATAATATTTTGTTGGCAAAAAATTTAAATATAGTAATATCTGCAACAAACTTGATTAGAATTTTTTTTATAGATATATAAAAACTTGTTTATGACTTGTAAATATTTGATTTAAAAACATTATAAGCATATGATAAAATTTATATATTTTTATTTTTTAAAATAAAAGAGACAGGTTCTTATTTCTTAAACATGTTATTTTTCATTTTGAATAAAAAGATAACTAGATTTTTTTTTCATAAAAGATAGTTCTTCGTCCAATTAGACTAATATTAGCCATTCAAACCCAATGATGACAAGTGTGGATAATTTAGCAACTGGCCATCTAATGAAGTTGGTTAACTCGAGCTAATTATACTGACTAGTTTTGTCTAAATAAGTTAACATTTCAATATTTATACAATTTAACTTACTTAATCTATTTGACCTAAAAAAAATACTTAATCATCCAGAATTGTAGTTGCATTATTTATCTTTTGCTGGTTTGGTGATGTGCTCTGTTTTTTTCATAGTACCATCATCATCATAGTTGGCATTGTTCTTATTATTACTCGATTACACATCTTCTAGTATTTAATATTACTTAGTTAGATAGTGTTATATCTAGTTTTTTTCCCCCTGACAATAAGAGATTATGTTCAATAACGCAAAGGTTCACGAAGACAGTTAACCGATGCCCTGCTTATGCCAATTACGTTTCAGCTTGCAGTCTTTCTTCAGGGCCTCGTGTAATTCTATTCGACTGTATTTTTGGAGATGGACTGTTGAAAAAAAAAAATGAAGGATTTATGCAGGTTATTATGAGTCTTTTGAAAAAAGGTTTGGGCTTTTATGCCCTGCATTTTTCTCCCTATTTTGTCCGGTCAAAGAGTGATTAAAATTGTTAAAAATTATTTGGTTAAAAATTGTTTGGTTTATTTTAATTTTTGAATTAATATAAGAAAATGACACATTTTTTAAATTATGTATCAGTATAATTAAATTTTTTAAAAAAATATGCAGGCTTTTCTTGACCCGAGCCTGGACTATATCACTGAGAGCCTAGTTTAAAAACACGTTCAATTTAAGATATGTGGGATTACAAGCTTAAACCTTTTAGGTTAGTGAGAAAATTCTTATTGACAGCTTTACAATAAAATGATTTGGGACTTCAGTGTAAAATGATAATTTTATGGGACGTCAGCGTGGAATGACTTCTTCCAAGAGACTAGAGCCTCCCTCCTCTGTCTGAAAATTATTTGGTCTATTTTATTAAACTTGAGTGTGTTAATTAGTCTTCAATGAATATTGCTGGGGTAAAAATGTTCAAGTGCCATATCACAACGATTTTGACATTTGAGACGGGACGTTGCTCTATTCTCCTATCAAAATAATTCAATGAGGAAAATGCCCAATAAGTAATTTTATTATAGTCATTGTTGCATTAAATTCTGATTCATAATAATAAATTATCTTATTTCATTTAATGACATTGGCTACAAAATACTTTTCTACTCCTATTTAAAATAAATTCTATTATATTTTATCAAAATCAATGAAAAATTTAGAACGCTTTAACCATGTCTAAAAATTTCATTTATTTTAGCTTATCTGATGAAAAAAAATCACTTTTTTTTAAATTATTTTGTGAGTTTTTATAATATTTATTTAAACTCTTAAGAATAATCAGAATTTAAAAAAAGAAGTAATTTTTGATTATTTTAAAAAGCTACTTTAAGTAGCTTTTGAAAATAATTTAATAGGATAGGAGAGAGGAAGTGTTTTGAAGAGACGAAATACTCGAACATATCATAAAATTTTAAATAATACAATAATAAAT